ATATCAAACATGCCATGGGGAGCTTGCCAGTCTCTGCCGTGCGGGCGGAATACTCTCAGTAGCTTGTTTGGCTCTCCGAGAGGGACAGAGGAATCGAACCCAGGTTGGCCATGTGCAAGGCAAACACCCTACCCGCTGGGCATCCCGTGGAATCCAGTCGGTAACAGCTCTAGTCCAGTGGTCGTCTTTAAATCTCATTACGTGACCAACCCATCTGATTTTTGACACCTTGGCAAACAAGACAGCGTCCCTGATTCTTGATCGTCGATGGATGTCGGAACTCCGGATTCTTTCTCTCATTTGAGTGAAAAGTGATATTCCAAGCATAGCTCTTTCAATTCTTCTTTGGGAGGCCTGAATAGCGTTCTCATCCTGTTTGCGTAGGGCCCAGGTCTCTGAGGCAAATGTTAATGCAGGAAGAACAGTGGAATCAAAGAGATGTGCCCAGAGCCTGAGGTTCTTCGTCCTCTTAGCTATTTCTTTGACATCCTTGAAGGCATTCCCAGCTGCTCTCTTCCTCCTGCACAGCTCGGGTGCCAGGTCATTTGTCATGTTGACTTCTCGACCTAGGTACACATAGCTGTTGCATTCGGAGATGGTCGTTCCATTGAGAGCGAATGGGGCATCAGGAACGAGGCTGTTTCTCATAAACATTGTTTTCGTAAGATTCAGCTGTAGTCCTACCTTTCCACACTCACAGTCAAAGTCGGCCAGCATTTGTGCTGCTTGGCTGATGTTTGGTGTTATTAGAACGATGTCATCAGCAAAGCGGAGGTGGTGTAGTTGCCGACCATCTATCTTCACTCCCATTCCTTCCCATTCCAGTCGTCGCATGATGTTCTCGAGGGTGGCACTGAAGAGTTTCGGTGAAATGGTATCACCCTGCCGAACCCCTCTCTTGACATCAATGATTACTTCTTTGTAGAATGGTGAGATCCTGGTAGTTAATCCGCAATACAATTCACGGAGGATCTTGATGTATTGGGCTTGAATGCCCTGATGGGCTAGGGCTTCAATGACCACTTCCGTCTCAACAGAATCAAAGGCCTTCTTTAAATATTGTTATACAACAATTATTTTAATAATTATCACTTATTATTTAAAATTATTTAATAATATTATCATAATAATAATTACTATAACAAAATTAATAATAATAATTAACTTGCTTTTTAGAGGACCTGTTCTCTATGATGTTCAAAGCACTTTCACTTGTATTGCCTCATTTGTCTCACTTCAATAGCTTAGCTTCAAGTCAACTAAGAGTCACAAAATCTCCCCATTTGGAAAGAAAACCCCCACCTGACTCTCTGTTCATTTTCACGACTGGTATTAAACCTTTGTTTCTTTTTTATTTTTTAATTATTTATTTATTTATTATTTTGCTTTTTGAGTCACACCCGGCGATGCTCAGGGGTTACTCCTGGCTCTGCACTCAGAAATTACTCCTGGCAGTGCTCGGAGGATCATATGAGGTACCAGGGATTGAACCTGGGTCGACTGAGTGCAAGGTCATTGCACACTGTCCTATCATCCCAGCCCCTCTTATTTATTTATTTATTTATTTATTTATTTTGCTTTTTAGGTAACACCTGGCGATGCACAGGGGTTACTCCTGGCTCATGCACTCAGGAATTACTCCTGGCGGTGCTCAGGGGACCATATGGGATACTGGGAATTGAATCCGGGTTGGCCGCATGCAAGGCAAATGCTCTATCTACTGTACTATCACTCCGACCCCTCTTTTTTTATTTTTGAACCTGTTGGGCTGGAGCGATAGCACAGCGGTAGGGCGTTTGGCTTGCGCACAGCTGGCCCCGACGAGCCAGGTTTGATTCCTCTGCCCCTCTCGAAGTGCCGGGCAAGCTACCGAGAGTATCTCGCCCGCACGGCAAAGCCTGGCAAGCTACCTGTGATGTATTCGATATGCCAAACACAGTAACAAGAAGTCTCACAATGGAGACGTTATACCGGGCCCGCTCGAGCAAATCTATGAACAACGGGAGGACCATGACCTTGAAGAAAATTGTGATGTTTCCAGTAAACACAATGGCCGTCAATAATCAAGGAAAATTTGAGCATGAACAGTGCTGGCTTGTCTGGATTCCTTTTGTAGTCATGATGCTTTGCTCATTTCTAGCTGCTGCTACCTTGATTTTGATAGCTACCCATAAGCCCTTTGGCTAAGATCACGCCACCCAAGTTGGGAGTTTTCTTTGAACCTGTAATAGGATACTAATGGGGCATCTCATTGCCTTAAATAACAAACACCCACTTGGTGTTTATGATACATTCATTTGCTGTACTGGCTCCTATTTTTCTGGGGACAACTTAAATTAATCACAGTATTCTACCCTCAGACTTCAAATGAAGCCAAGTAATGAACCATGCTCATGTGGGAGTGAAGGAGGAAGGAGGCAGGTAAGCACTCTGGTGCAAAGCCAAGTCTTTCCATACAGTTTGTTTACAGGCTACAAGGGAAAGCTGTCAACAGTGATCTCTGCAATGCCTATACAAAAAAAAAAAAAAAAACCAACTTGTAAAATATGTGCTCCTTAACGCTCCAGAGATGGTCCAAAGATGTTTCTTTGATTTTTAAAGGACCACTTTGAGCCTGTTCAGGTTAATGAACCCTTTTCTTCTTCTCTTGATGCCCCACCCTCACCCCCACCCCCACCAATTGGCTACAAATTTGGAGAATTTTATATACTAAGGTATCACTGTGGGACCCGGGGCTGAGATCTCCAAACCTGCATGGTTTGGGACTGGACCTGCCAGTAGCTAGACAGTTACACCCACCAACTGCTGTATAACCCCAACAACGGCCAGGATCCAGAGATTATCACACTCAGCTCCCGGAAGCGACATCTTATCTCATTCCTACTTTGGACAAACTGGCAGGCTACCAAATATAACCTGCCCACATGGCGGAGTCTGGCAAACTCCCCGTGGCGTACCCAATATGCCAAATACCAGTAACAATGAAGGGTCTCATTCTCCTAACTCTGAAAGAGCCTTGAATGTGGCACTTTTTAAAAAAAATCTCAGGGCTAGGATGAAGGAGACGTTACTGGGGCCTGCTCGAGGCAATCGACGAATAACAGGATGGTTGTGATTGTGATTGTGAAGTTATCACTGTAGCACTGTCCTCCCATTGTTCATGGATTTGCTTGAGTGGGCACCAGTAACACCTCCATTGTGAGATGTGTTGTTACTGTTTTTGGCATATCAAATACACTACAGGGAGCTTGCCAGGCTCTGCCTTGCAGGCGGGACCTGGGAGGACATTGCTCATAACAGAACTTATCCATGATTTCAAGGGAACAAGTCTAAAACAAAGAGCCCAAATCAGGGGGTCAGGAGATGAGTTCTCCAGCCTCAGCTCTCGCATTCTATTTGATCTTGTTTGATTCTTGTCAAAAAGCAATTCCCAGGAGTGTGGATGAGAACAGTGACTTGAATCTGAGGCATCCTGTTTTTGTTTTTATGCCCACATGCCTCCTGAAAACGCATCTTAGTGTGTTAACTACAATAATCATTTTTAAAGGTATAAATCTAGCATGCCAATTACTCTTATTTGGTGAAGCTTCAAAACACTGATTTCTTCCCCCAGCCTCCACCACAGCCTAGGCAAAGAGGGAAAAAAAAAAAAAAACAAATAAAAGAAAAAAAAAAACAGTTCTGCTTTTGGACCATACTAAGTGATGATGAAAGGTCATTTTCAAAATACTTAGTTTTCCTTTTACATATTGACTTTATTCAATTCTCATTTGAGGCACAACTCCAATGTTGCAAGCTCTTGCTTTTTAGGAAAACACTTTAAGTCAAATTAAGAGCAAAGAGCATTTAAATGTACACAGGCAGAGACTACAGTTCTGGGCAATTACCATTGTCATTAATCTTTTAGTGGCTGAAAATAATAATAATTGCTAACATAGATACAGTTCCTTAGAGTTAATAGTGCAATTTAATATCTGTTATTATCTTTAATGGGCTGAGGTTTACAGCCTATCTTGCACTATGCCAGGTTAGGGGCAGAGTGCTGTCTAAGAATTCTACCTAAAGTCAGAGTAATCAGCTACCACTGGTTTTCTGGGGAGACGAGAATACAAGGCCCACATTCCACTGGAATTTCTGGGCAGTGAGTGTCTGTTGAGCAAGACAGCCTATGAGGAATACTCATGGGTAAAGAGACATAAAAGAATCATCCCTACAAAGTTCTTTATATTCTCTTGTTCAGTCTAAAGGTTTTAAAGGCTGAACTATGAATATTTTTATGTTTACACATCCCCTTTCTCGCAACTGCAAATATCCCCCTTCTTCAATCAAGAGCAGATCTCAATGCAAGAACAATTTCTAGCAACTCAGATATGTAACAATGGCAGCAAAACAGTAAATCCACAGCTTTGAACTTCGGTCAGCTTGACCTCCACTAGGTGGCGCTGCATATTAACACAGTTTTCCAGCGTTTCTGGAACGAGTCAGCAATGTTCCCACTTGAGGATCTTTAACATGTTGACCACTGCTTTTGAAAGGGCTGTGACTCTGGGGGAGCCGAAACAATTAGCTGTGCTTTCGGACTCTGAAGACAGCCTGGCTCAAAAATTCTGTGGAGAGAGCAAAGGTGCTGCTCTGCACTGGGTCTTGGGAAATGATGGATGATGAAATGGGAGAGAAACGTACCACATCTGTTGCACGACTAGACTGTGCAGTTGGAAACGTCCATGGTTTGGTAGAAAATCAAAGCATACGTTTGAAAAATCTTAACTTTTTAAAAACAAAAGCACATTGTTATTCAGTTCACTTTGATAGCCTTGTAATGAGACTGAGGAAAACAGTAGCAGCTAAGGAAGGAGAACTTGAGAGCCGGAGTCAAGTGATGAAAAAAAGAAAATAGATGATTATGAGTGACTTAAGGGATCCCCAGGAAAGAATGGGGGTGGAGGGTAGGCAATCGTGAATCAGAGGATATAATAAAATAAAACTAATGGAGGACCTACCTTAGGCAGAGCATATTTGGGTAGTTTCATCTGGGCAAAAGCATTCCTCCGATAGGACACGTAGTAATGCGGTCGCCCCCCTGAGGTCAGCTGCATCAGAAATACCAAGGTTATAAGATCAGTGACTGCAACAGTCACAACTCACAGGAGAATAGCCATTGAGTGCAAGGGAGTAACTGACAATACAAGAGCACAGATGCCCGGTGTGGGCAGGTTTCAGGAACTGGCACTCTGTTCAAAAACAATTTACACAGCGTGTGATTGAGCCAAAGGCTTAACTGAACCCAGCAGACAAAACATAAGTCCCCAATTTTCACTGTGGTTCAGAAGCCATGAAATTAGTATATATTTTTTAAATTCTACGCATCGAATAGTTAGCTTACTGTTCATCAGTAGTTCATATATCCATCCCCCAGAGCAGGGCTATAGAAACATCATGTTGGAAGGAAACCCTTCAGGGCAAATGTTGGCAGAAATGGCTTCTCACAACTCTGGCCCCAAAGTCTAGTGTGGTGCTGTGACACTAGAGGGTATGGTCTCATGCGCAGCACTGCTACTGATTCATTAGCAGCAAAGGCAGGCCAGGATCATGGCCCCCAATCCACCTACATATTCAGGTACTGGAGAGAATTTCCTGCCTAACTCTCCCAAGTCTTTCCTGGACAGAAACACAATGAACCTGGTGGGCTCAGAGATTTGTGGTTTCCTTCTCAGCATGAGAAAGAAACACTGAGCATGGAGAGTGTCAAGGAAGATCTCCCATCTCCCTTTTTTAGGGGCTCCTTTGCCAGCTTTGCTGGGCTATCACTGACATATATTAGGTATGCTTAGAGTAACTACAACATAGGTTTTTAGCTGATTTTATTTGGAGGGATTTAGGGCCACTCCAGCAGTATGCTCTTGGTGGTACTCAGGGGACCATATGTGGTGCCAGGATTGAAGCAAGATCAGCCTTCTGTCAGGCCAGTGCCCAAATCCCTGTACTACCATGCATAGCTGATTTTTTTTTATTGTTGTTGTTTATTTATGGACAAACTGGCAGGCTACCGAATGTAACCTGCTCACACGGCAGAGTATGGCAAACTCTCTGTGGCATACCCAATATGCCAAATACCAGTAAAAATGATGGGTCTCATTCTCCTAACCCTGAAAGAGCCTTGAATATGGCACTTTTTAAAAAATCTCAGGGCTAGGATGAAGGAGATGTTACTGGGGCCTGCTCGAGGCAATCGACGAACAACAGGATGGCCGTGATCGTGATCGTGTTGTTTATTTATTTGGCTGGTAGATTTTGGGCCACACTGGATTACTAACTGTGTTTCTCAGGGCTCCTATTGAGTCTGCATGCAGGGTCTACACTATTCCTGGGGAAGATCAGGGGTGCCAGGTATCAAATCTGGGTGGCCCTGTGTAAGGCAAGGGCCTTACCCACTATACTATCTCTCTGGCCCCAACATATTGTTGTTGTTTTAACCGAGGCAATGCTTATTCAACAGTATGTGTTTTTCAGGTTGAATCTTACACTTCTTCACTGTATGTATTTTTTCTAAAGCATTATTTAATTTCATATCATGTGAAATGATTAACACAGATTTGTTGACACTTGCACCCTTCCACTTTATTCCAATTTTATTTTTATGGTAAGAACATATAATTCCACTCTCTATAACAACTTCCAAACACCTAAAAGAGAACTGTTCATTACATTCCCCGGAATATACAATATGTTCCCAGAATGTACTTATAACTTGGCACTTATATCCTTTGATCAACAGTTCCCCCATTATCCTTCCCCAGAGCACCCCATGATCACTGTTCTGTTCTCTGTTCTTATGACTTTATGTAGCAACTCAATCCACTGAAATAGCTGGAGTTTGAATGACAGCTGGATTTTGTGTACGAGGAATGTCAATAAATGCTTGGAGTGAATATTCATAAGACACATAAAAATGTGATCATAATGCTATCATGTTCACCATTATGTGGTCAGTTCGCTTCATAGTCCACATGATGGATTGCAGACTCACAATGAAATTGGCATGGACAGAAAATATATGAATGCTAAATTCAGAATTAATTCTCATCTGCAAGTCATGTATGTGGATGATAAACTGTTATTTTAAAATAGAAAGGGTTCCTGGGAACAACACTGACAGAGTTATAAATTAAGGTAGAACTTAACAACAATAACAAATTAAAGGTGGAACTAATACTTATACAAATATATATTTTCTACTATAACATCATTTGATAATTTGACACTGAAGTAATCAGAGAACACTTCTCCAGGGAAAAATGAAATGTGTACGCATGTAAAGTTTTTGTGCAAGAAAAATCCTAAAAGTATATGGGCTTATGTTTGGCTTGAACATTTCAGTTGTTACCTCCAAATGTGAATAATATTTTGAATGATCATTTCTTTACAAATAAATATTATGATATTCAGACTGTGTCCTAATCATATTATAATTCGGTACATGTGTAAACATGCACACAAACATACATGGAAAAATAAACTATTTAGCAATGATACCTTTGTGTTTTTAATGTGCAATGCAAGAACTGCCTTTTGATATCTTCCAGATAAGCCTAAACTTTTCCTTTAATACTGAAAACAGAAAACTATTATTGCCCCAGGTTTCTTCTAAACATGAAATCTAGACATCTCAAATCGTTTCAACTTTTCTTTAAAGGTTTACAACTGGCTAAATGAATGAATACTTTCCAACTAAATTCTCTCTATTCTAATCAGTTCCTGCAAGACAGTAATAGCTGATTAGACTCCTCTTGGCCTCCTATCTCCTCCAGCTACACTCCTGGTTTCCTGTTCTCATATGTTTCCCTATTTTTAAGGTTGGGAAGGAAACTGATTGACTGACTAGTTTCCTGATAGGAAAAGACTGGCATATGTGCTCTTTCTCTTGATAACTGACAGGAACTTCCACAGAATGCAGATGAGAGGCATGAGAGGAGGTAAGCATTATTCTGGACACAGCCTTAGTATTCCGAGCAGGGCTTCTGTGACCCGAGTGAATAAGGCCCTCCAGAAACTGCCCCCGATAACTAATTAATATGCTATTAGCATAGAGCCATGGACACTTGGTAATGTTTCTTTTGTTGAAAAGATTCATCTTGTTTTTATTTTTTTCCCTTCTTTTTTTTTGGCTATTCTGGGAGTATAAGCAAGCAAAAGGGGATCCATCAGGGACAGAAACAGGGAAGACAAATGTCATTGAGACAATCAATAGCTGGAGATCTTTTATACCTGAACAAACACATAATCATCCTGGACAATCAAAGAATCTGGGTCAATGTAGCCTGGGAAAGGTTTACTTCTGTTCGCCTCTGTGCAGTTCTGCATCCGGCAGGTTAGGTATTGTGAATCTGGAAAAGAAAATGAACAGGGTAGGAGTGATGAACATATGAAGGATTAGTCAGAGCGGCCATTTCTATTTTCTTGCTATCTCCAAGTTTTCAAACAAATCTCACATTCTTAGCTGATTGCATTGTTATTATTATTGTTAAGAGCCATCGCTATTATTTTACTCTAACACTATCACCATCACTTAGTGCCACTATTAACTATTCCTTAGGTCAGTGTTTAATGTTTTTCAAACTTTTTTTGAATGCAGTCCCCTGTCCCCTTCTAATCTAATTTCTTTCCAGTGACTTTCAATTCTTCTGCCCCTCTCGGAGAACCCAGCAAGCTACTGAGAATATCTCGCCTGCACAGCAGAGCCTGGCAAACTACCCATGACGTATTCAATGTGACAAACACAGTAATAACAAGTCTCACAATGGAGACATTACTGGGCCCGCTCAAGCGAATCGATAAACAACGGAAGGACTGTGATGGTGACAGTGATAGCCTGTCTCACTAGCAGCCCTTCACCCCTTTCCCCAGTCACTCTATCAGCTGACCCTTGAGTCTCCTGTTGTGACCTCCCACTATTAAATTTTCACCTGTGGACTTTCTGAGATACTTTGGGGAACTCAAAAGAGAGCATATGTCTCCTGGTTGAAAAAAGTTGATCTATGCTATCCCAGAATAATAAATTCTCCTGTATTAATTTTATCTTCCAGACCTATACAAAAAATATTGTTTAAAACTGGTAATAACAGATGTGGTTTCATCAACATTAGTAGACTTTATCTCCACACTTTGACCTTTGTCCAATAGAGAAGGACACACAGACAAAAATATAAATCACTAATCCTTTTTTTCCTGAAAGTGTTGTTCTTGATCAGACTCTCTGCTGCTACTAAACAGAAGGGAAATGGAACAAAGAAGATATTACTGAGTCTAACTATGCTGTCAATTTACAGAGAAGTACACTGAGATGCTGAGTGTCATCTGAGTCTGGACACAGGTAGTAAGCATTTCAAAAATAACTCTTTCCTATATTTGATCTCTACTACTGATAGTACAGTGAATCATGGAGGTTTTCCTTACTTTTTGCCACAACCGTCCTACCCCATGTACTGATCAGCTGTTACTTCCTTTTATTAAACATTTCCTATCTACCATTTACAATAGATTCCAGTCTTCTACCAACAACCACTCCATCTGCCCTAATGCCATCTTCTCTCCTGTGAATCTTCTTATCTGGCCTTACTCATGATGAGGAAACTAGTTAAACTTTCTATCATATTATCATATTAGAGAGTTCTCAATTTGTGTTTCCTCTGCCTGAACATTTTTTTCTTTAGGATGGTCCCAATGAATATTCTAGATTTCAGACCACTGTAACTGTAAAGAGTCGTGTTCTATGATGACTTTTAAGGGTGTTCTATAATGACTTCTGATAAATACTATTCTGTTAATTCCCTTTATGGAAATTATCACAATATATAAAATCTCTTCATTTATTTATGTTCATACTCCTATTAGAATATAATATGCATGATGACAAATTCTTCTTTGATTGTTGTTTGTGACTGCACTCCAGGATCTAACCCACTGGTTTATATGTTGAACACAATAAATCACATTCATTTGGAACACCCATTTTTATAAAAAGATGTATTATTTGAATGAAAAATATGTCATTTTGCTTCTTTCTTGACTTTAATAAATGGATAAGTTTGATTTTAGGGCATTAGCAACTATACAGAAATTATACAGAAATGCACCCTTTCAAACAAAATAGGAAATCTTCACATGAAATAAAGATAAGCACTAGTGTGTCAATTAGAGATATAACACTTCATTAATGACTTCCCTTAGGGAAACTTTCAGAATTACCTTTACTTATAAATCTTGGATAATCAGTGTTCCACAAGTATCAGCGTTAGGAATGGCACACATTTTTGCTTTATCTGACTCATGACTGATACATTTGAGAATACTGATGGAGGACAATCTCCTTTTATTTCCCAAACATATCCCGACTGTATGTCCTTCAAGCATGTTAACTCATCTCTTTTTGTGAGATATTTTTTCTATTTTCATTTTAAGGCAAAACTCATTGTATTTGTCCATTAAGATGATTCTGTAACTTATCCGTCTGAGAATGAGACTCCTCACATTATGCGCACACGTGCGCCCGCGCGCCCACATGCACACACACACACACACACACACACACACACACACACATTTAATTCATAATTTCACTCTCCAGTAAATTCTTCTACAGATTTTGGTTAACTTCCTTTTATCACCAGGAACCTATTGAAACCTATTTAGAAAGATGAGAAGAGATACAAAGGGAGAAGTATGTATTCAAGAGAGAAATAAGCAAGAAAATAGACACAGAGATAAGCTAGCAAGATACATTTCAAGGGAGAAAATGGGCTTGAAGAGCAAGTCAATACATTCCTTGCCTCTATGCTAAAAAAAGAAAATGATGTAACTATTGGTTTTCTATCTTCCAAGTAAGAAGTAAGTAAAAGAATATATTCATTCATATATAAGAGATGCAGTTTTTTGAGTCTTTGCAAAATCACAAGGGGTTGTCTTCCCAACCCCTTGCCATTAATAGGTTTGAGAAAAGACATTTAAGCCCGATCATCCTGTTGTTTGGTCGATTGCCTTGAGCAGGCACCAGTAACATCTCCTTCGTCCTAGCCCTGAGATTCTAAAAAGTGCCATATTCAAGGCTTTTTCAGGGTTAAGAGAATGAGACCCATCATTGTTACTGGTATTTAGCATATTGGGTACGCCACGGGGAGTTTGCCAGACTCTGCCATGTGGGCAGGTTACATTCAGTAGCCTGCCAGGTTGTCCAAAGTAAGAATGAGATAATAAGATGTTGCTTTTGGGAGCTGGGTTTTATAGTCTCTGGGTCTAGATGGGATTACACAGTGCTGGGGGGGGGGGGCAGTTGGTGGGTGTGACCCCCACCTACTGGAAGACGGAGGATCTGGGTGGAGGATGCTTAGCCCTGATCCGAGCAGGCTTGGAGATCTCAGCCCTGGGACCCCCATGCCTTTTTTCCTCTGCCAATATCTTCATGCGTGTGGAGAGTGGTCTCAGCATGGTTGTGGCTGGTTCTGGAGGTTTTCGGCTGCCGGGGCTCTGCTCGGGGCGAGGAGGGAAACTCAACCTGCCACCCTCCAAGAGGCCCCAGTGAGGACAGCCAGGAGTAGGGGCAGGAGACTCTGCCAATTTAAGCCCAGCTCTAATAAATGGGAGGTCTTTATTAAGTGGTAGGTGTTTAAGGAGCTGCAAAGAGGTATCAAGAGATAAGAAAGATCATTTTTCATCTGTTACAAGACTGAGCTCAATTTGATTACTGGAACTATTCTAGCCTTCTTGAATGAAGGAGCTAGACTTAATGTTAAGCTTATGTAATGAACAGGACAAAGGATAAGAATTGTCCTTTGATTACATCATTGAGCTAATGATTCACTGAGGCTACAATTGCCTCTTTCTGTACCTCTTCTTTTGTGAGATCATGAATAAAAACAATGGTTAACCACATTGAATCAAAGAAGTTCTAAACTAAAAATTATAAGCACAAATACCAATTAATGAGGACTTCTTGATAGTGCATGTTTTATTTGTAAAGAGGGCCAAGAGCTTTTTTCTTAAGACATTTTTCTCCTCAAAAGCCCCTTAAAAAGTATGTTATGGAAAATAAATAAGTGCTAATATTTTCAAATTTAAAACTCAACTATATTAAATTACTAATTGAATGATAAAAGAACAGAGTAATTAACATTGTCAATCACTTATATGCCAGGTACTATACATATAGTATATTCTCATCCTCACAATATAACAAAGTATAATATATCAAATACTTTTGCACATAAGGAAAATAAACTCTTTGAGTGATTTATAAAAATGACAATAAAGGCTCAAACTTAATTGGTCTTTATATTACATCAAAGATTATTTTTAACTATACGTTGTACTAAAAGCACCAGCATGTTTGAGGCAAACTTTTGCTATGTATATTTTGACTTTTATCAAAATTTATTTGCTCGAGCGGACCCAGTAATGTCTCCATTGGAGACTTTGTTGTTACTGTGTCTGGCATATCGAATACGGCACGGGGAGCTTGCCAGGCTCTGCTGTGTGGGCGAGATACTCTCGGTAGCTTGCTGGGCTCTCCGAGCGGGGCCGAGGAATCGAACTCCGGTCAGCCAGCCATCTTGGCTGCGTGCATGGCAAACGCCCTACTGCTGTGCTATCCCCCGCTAACACAAATACTACCTATAAGTGTATATTTTTATGAAATAATTTGATAAGAGGAACAAGTATTTATAATCTTGTGTTCACTTCTGAAAAATTTACCAGAATAAATAGTGATTGATACATGTATGTACTTCACTACTTAAATATTTATCCATGTTTTGAAATAGAAAAGAGAGATTCAATGAATAACAATATAGGGATTACTTAACTGTGAAACATATAAATTTGCTTGTTTATACTAAAATCTTTCTTTTAAGACTGAAGACAGTACAGAGGGTAAGACGCTTGGTTCGCATGCAGCTGGATGATTTATTTTATTTAATTTTTATAAAGTTTTATAAAGTTTTTCACAATATTTGATTACATTTAATATATTTTGAACAGCAATCCCACCATCATGACACCTTCAAACCCCCATATTTCCATCCCAAACCCCAAACTGTGCCCCTGAAGCAGAATCAAAATAAATTATTTTGTATTGTTTGCTATGAATAATCCACTAAAAATGACCAAAAAGAGTTTCTTAGAGGGAAGTGTATGAAGATTATTAAATTTCACCCAGAAGTCATTAAGCCCTTCTTCTATAAAAGATTAGTAACATATTAAAGGTTGAGGCTTGAGTGCTTATCTCTGTATCTGTACATATTTCCCCCCAAGATTGGTTGTCTTCTACTTTAAACCCCATCAAATGTGGTGTGTTACTCTTGGTACTCTTGGGCTGGAGTGATAGCACAGAGAA